ATAAACTTGACACCAATGCAAAGACATAATGTCAACAAATCTGATTTCTCCATAGAAACAATGTCATAGCAATGAACTGTGTCCCTCACCAGGGATCCAAGGCCCAAGTCTTGGTAAGAAGGAGCACAAAGCATAACATTTAATTAATTTAATTAATGGAATTGCTGTCACATGCCTCTTATCTAACAAAATGCCAGAAACCCTGAAGATGCTCAATACACCCTTGAGAACTGATAGAAGCATAAACAGATATTAGACAGTTTAAAATTATAAAATACAGGAATGAATAGCAATATTGATTTACTAGATTTCGCCAGGAGAGGGGCAGGGAGTCCAACTTCTGATGTTCTGTTCCTTCCTCACTCAGTTTTAACAGATTGTACTTTTTGAGTAACTGATCTGTTTAATTTCTGCTGTCAAATTTATTGCACAAAGTTATCCATTAATGTCTGCAGCATCTGTAAAATATTCCCTATTCCATTCCTGGACTGAGAAGTTGTGCTGTTGATTGGTCTTTAGTTACTTAATTTAGCTGGACATTTATATGTTTTACTAATCTTTCTTTTCAAAGAAACAACTTCTAGCCTTATTCCTTATTGGTTTTTGCGTGTGTGTGTGTATGCCTGTGCGTGTGTGCCTGGAATCAAACTCAGGTCCTTGCACTTGCCAGGCAGGCACAGTGACACTGAGCTACATCCTCAGCCCATTTTTGCTTTTTGTTTGCTTTTTTTTTCCCCTTCAGCTCTGGGGATTGAACTCAGGACCTTTGAACTGAGCTATGACCCCAGCCATTTTTTATTGTGAGACAGGATCTCACTGAATTTCTAAATTGCTCAAGCTGGGCTTGAACTTGCAATCCTCCTGCCTCAGCCTCACAGACTACTCGTATTACAGCACAAAGCTCATCTTTTTTTTTCTTTCTATTTCATTGATTTCTTTACTCATCTTTATAATCAACTTTCTAGAAAGTTTAACTTGTCCTTTTCTTGCAGTTTTTTCAATGTAACTTAGATCATTGATTTGAAAGCTTTATTCTTTTTATAATATAAGTGCCTAAAGGTAAAAATTTCCTTATAAGAAGGGTTTTTGGCTACATCCCACATGATTTATTTTGATTCTTTTTTTTGTTTGTTTTTTTTTTGGTATTTTGAGAAAGTGTCTCACTATGTGGCCCAGGCTGGCCTCAAACTCACAGCCATATCATCTAATTCAAATTACTTGGGGCAGGGAAGCAGTTCTGGGAACTGAATCCAGCATTTCACATATTTTTAGTATGTTACTATTCTGTTTAAAATATTTTCAAATTCCCTTTGTGATTTGCTCTGTAACTCATGGATTGCTCTTAGAAGTGCTGAATAAAATATCAAAATTTTAAATACAGAAGGTTCAGTAATTATGTGCTGAATCCAAATGTCATAATCCAAAGCAAACATTAGGAATCCTGATCCTGTCTTTATTCAAATGCTGAGTTTTGGGGCTGGGGATGTAGCTTAGCAGTGCCACACTCGCAAGGTTCTAAGTTTGAGTCCCAGTACCTAAAATAAAATACTAAGTTTTGTTCTTGGGATTTTTCACATTAATTCTGATGTTTAAACATATTGTTTGTCTTGATCACAGAGTTTCTTGGTGGCCCTAAGGCAAGAGCTTCCCTTCCCTGCCACAGCCCCAGTGAGCTTCTGTCCACACCGACAGAAGTGAGTTGAGTTCCCTGAGCAGGGTTCTTTGTGTCTCCACTTTGCCTTTCAATCCTTTTCCTTTGGGTCCCCCTGGTTTTTTGTTGTTGTTGTTGTTGTGTTTTTATTGAATTTATTGGTACATTCTAGGTAGACAGGACAGTTACATTCATTACTGGGATCTTGTACCTTTACATGACAGGTCTTGGTTCTCGTTTTTTCCCCTTGTCCCCACCCTCCCTTCACCCTCCCCTCCTCTCCCCCCCTACAAACACTTTAATTCCATTTTTACATTTTCTCATATTTTTCCCCTGTTTTGAAGCGCTCTCACATACACAGATTTATGTTCCTATCATTTCTTCTCTAATTATTCTACCCTTTTGTTCTGTAGGATGCCCCCTTTTTCTCTAGCAGTCCACTTGACTTGAGCCCTATATGTCTGATATTACATTCTGCTAGCTTTTTTACACTGTACTTAGTGTTTTCCTGTTAGATTGTTTTGTAGTCATTTTAATTTCGGATCTATTTCCTTCATTTTATTGAAAGCTCTCCCTTGTTACGCAAAGAGTTTGGCCTTGCTTTAACTTTTCTGCTTTTTAATCCAGTCTGACAACTGTTATCCTTTAATTGGAGTGTTTGTTTTCCATTTGAAGTAATTCTCTTTTTTTTGGTACTGGGGATCTAACTGGGATCTTGCACTTGTGAGACAGGCGGAGGCACCACTGAGCTAAATCCCTGGCCCTTAAAGTAATCGTTGGTGTGGTTGGGTATAAGCTTCTATTTTTCACTTGCCTTCCTTTTTCTCATCTTTGTTTGGTGTCCATTTAAGGTTTCTTTTGGGGTAATCAAGTATTTTTTAGTATGATGACTTCTCTCCCTTTTGGCATGCAAACTACATCCATTTGTATTAATTTTGGCAATGACTTTAAGAATTACAGTAAGCAGCGCTAACTTTCCTCAGTTACCTTGAATTACTGTGTAAAACGCAAGAGCTATAGTAGCATAAATCTATTTATTCCTCTCTCGTCCTCTGGGCTCTTCTTCTACATATTTTATTTCTACATAAATTACTCTGTTTTAAATATTTTTCTTTAAGCGCTTGTCTCTTAGAGAAATGAAGAAAACCTCATTATTCATCTTTCCCAAATAATGAACATTAGGGGCTGGGGATTTAACTCAGTGTTTCTGGCACCTGCCTCACAAGCACAAGGTCCCGAGTTCAATCCCCAGTACCAAAAAACAAAAACAACAACCAAATAATGAACATTCCCAGGTTCTTCTTTCCTGCCTTGAGATCATTTCCCCTCAGAATAAAAAAAAACAAAACAAAATAAAACTGTGTGTGTGTGTGTGTGTGTGTGTGTGTGTCTTGTGTGACTCTGCTGGCAGTAAACTCTATGTCTGAAAATGCCTTTATTTCTTGTATTTTTGGAGGGCATATACTATAGTTTGACAGGTTTTTTTTTCTTCCAGCATTTTTAGAGATGTCCAGCCCTGCACTATGGAATGACATTTAGGTCACCAACAGTTCACACCCGCCTGTGGTCCCTAAGATTGTACTGCTTGATGACAGCTTGGTGGTCTCAGTCTTGCGGTGTAGTCTGTGATGTTGGTACAGTGATCACAAGCAACTCCATGTTTCCTGTTGCCCCGTGTCTCTGTTAAGGCAGCTAGCAGTGCCGTGGTTGTGTATCATTTTTATTCCGGATAATTTTGAGTGTATGCATGTTTGTGTGTGTGTGTGTATATATATATATATATATATATATATGCGCATGTGTGTATATATGTGTGTGTTTGTGTGTACATGTGTGTGCATGTGGCACTGGGGATGGCACCAGGGCCTCTCACATGCCAGGCAAGTGCTCTCTGCCACTGAGTGCCCCAGTCCCCTCTGGATACTTTTAGAATATCTTTTTTGTATCTTTCTTTTGTTTTTTAGGCATTTGATTAGGATGTCGCTTTCTTTCTATTTTAACTCTACGTGTTTAAGCTTTGGAGGATACAGGTATTTTGTTGTTGATTTTGTTTTGTCTTTGTTCATGTGCCACCAAAGCAAGCATGAGGATATAGTCTTTTGGGAAATTTAATAAAAATTGTGGCCATTGTTCCTTCATATATGTTTTCTGTCTCCTCCTCATTCTCACTCTCCTTCTTATGGAACTTTGGTTGAAAATACCTGCCAGGTACTGTCCCACTAATTATTGAGGCTTTCTTCAATTTTTAAAATACTATCATCACAATTTGAATAAATTCTACAGTGTTTTCAAGTTCATTTATCATCTCTGCCACACCCAGCCTGTTCTAAGCCCTCTCAATACATTTTTACAGCTTTTGTGATGTTTAATTAACTTATAATAAAGCCGGTCTATTTCAAGTATAACTTTTGAGGAATTTTGGCGTACGTATAGCCATAAAAAATCACCACGAGTGAGATAATGAATTTAGCTATCCAAGAGTTTCCTTGTGCTACTCTGAAATCCATTCCTGTCTTTCCTTCTCTATCTCCAAAAGGCCATGGAGCCTCTTTCCGCCATTATAGATTAGTTTGCATTTCCTAGGACTTCTCAAGGTTGAAACTGTATAGTGGTGCCCTTCTGGAAATAACTCCGCACTGTACCTTTGTTGCTGCCAGCTTCTACTGTGTTTTCTTGGTGGTGAGTGGTGTCTGTTACGTGGATGACCAGTTTGTTTTTCCATTCTACCTGTTGATGGACACTTGGGCTCTTTCCAGTTTCTAACTATGACACTCATGTATTGGTCTCTGTGCAGACACACATATGCAGTTCTTTTGTGTAAACTGTAGGAGTGGAATGCTTGTATCCTATATAGAAGCGTGTTCAGATTTTTAAGAAAACAACAAACTCTTTTCCATCCAAAGTGTTTGCCCATGAGAGCTCGGTTGCTCCACGTGCTGGGTGGTACTTAGTATGGCCAGTATTTATTAAAGGAATGAATGAGAAGGGCCATTGTGATGAATATGTGGGCAATCATTGTATACAACATCTTTATTTAAAAATCCCTTTCAAGCCCATTCTTCCACTTTCTGCTATTGTAAAGAAGTCTTCGAAGCTGTGTCCTTCCAGGGAAAGAGGATTATTTAGCTCCCAGTTCTGGAGGTCCAAGGATGTGGTCCCTGCAGCAACTCAGCTCCGGGAGACTCTCATGGAGGGTTGGGATCACAGTGGTGGGACTGTGTGAGAGGGAGAGATCACATTGCCAGCTCACAATCCCAGAGGCACAGGAGCAGTCTGGCTCCATCATGTATAACTTCTGGTCATGAGAACTAACCCAGGATCACATGTGAACTTCCCTTTCCCTTCCCAGGGCAATATCCTCAGCAACTTCAATTCTCCCTCTTCCTCCACCTTGGAAAAATTGTCCCGTCTGTCAATGGCACCAACTGGGGACCAAGCTTCCAACACACAAAGAGAGATTCTGCATCAATTTAAAGATGTGTGTCATGATGCTAAAGCAACCACCCAGAGATAACAGCAGTACAGCCAGGAAGCCAACAAGAGGTAAAATGGAGTAACAGAAGATGCTTGATCCAAAAGAAGGTAGGAAAAGAGGAAACAGGCAACCAGAAACAAAGGGGATATTATTAACCAGCACAATTCAGCTGACATTTAGAGAATACTTCTCCCAAGGGTATCAGAACACGCATGCCTTTCCAAGGCCCACAGAACCCATTCCAAAGGAAGCCATATTCCACTCTATGGCACAGCTCTCAGTAAATATAAATGGGCCCCAGTTATATAAAGCATATTCTCATATGGAGTTAGGATAGAAACCAATATTTTAAAGAGGCTATATCTGGACAATCCCATTGGTAACAGAGATAACATACATACTTCTAAGTAATGTATGGATCAGAGAAAAATCAAAAGGGAAATTAGAAAATAATTTGAAGTGAACGAAGTAAAAACTTATTAACATATGTAGGGTGCGGCTAATGAGGACAATTTATAACAACAATTGTCATCAGAAGAGAGAAAAAGTCTAAAGCAGTTGACCTAAGTTTTCACCTGGGGAAACAATAAAAGGTAAAGCATATGAAGCTCAAATTAAAAAGAAAAATGAAATAATAGGATAAAATTAGAAATAAACCAAGAAGGGAGAAAGATTTAATTGAACCAAAAGGTTTTTCTTGAAATGACCAATAACATTATATTTGCTGTTTCTTAACCAGTTATATCCCCACAGATTTGAATTCCCTCCCAATGCCATCAGTTTTTGGGGGAAGAGGCCTGAGGACTGAACCCAGGGCCATCACACTAAGCAACATTCCCAGCCCTCTTTTAATTTTTTTAAATTTTGAGATCAGAATTTGTTAAGTCTCTAAGTTGCCCAGGGTGGGCTTGAACCTGCAATACTATTGCTTCAACCTTCAAGAGTCCCAAGATGAAATGTTTTTGTTTTTCTAATATACGTATTTCTTTTTTTTTTTTTTTTT